CCGTTTCCACTCGGATCACGTAGTAGCACTCGAGTTCTACACTTCACCAAATGTTCCCCTCTCTTTCTCTCCCTATCCACTTCGGTGGTTTGTCTCTCCACTCAAAACCCATCCGGCTACGACCGCGAAGAGGTACGGTGGCTACGGGAGGAGCAAAGATGGATTCGCGAGGAGCAACGGTGGCTCCGTGAAGAACAAAGGTGGATACACGAGCGTGAAGCACTTCTACGAGAAATTTCAGATCTCCAGCTCCAGATTCAAACCCTAGAATCTCGAAATTCGCAGCAGGGAACTTCAATTCCCGATTCAATCTCCAACGTCGCTGCTCTGCTTCAGGTTCTAAAGGAGAAGAATCGGATTTTAGAGAGTGGGTCGAGCGTAAAACCAATGGTATTGGAGAATACGAGAGAACCCGGGGAGGAAGTTGAAGAAGAGGAAGAGAAACGGGTAATTTCTGAGGAGAAATTTAGGGTTTCGGAGCCATTGAAGAAGAGGAGGACATTGAAAGTTGGAAGCGAAGGCGAAGAGGTTCAAGCTTTGCAGGTCCGCTAGCAAAAAAAACACAATTGTTCGTTCTCTCAGTTTTAGAACAAAGGCGAGTAACCCGTTAGTACTGATTCTATCATCACTGGAAGAAAAAGCTTAAATTGATCCAATTTGTAGAAGATAAATGTTCACAGATTTAGGCTTTGATGATTTGAAATGGTTCCATCATCATTTGAAAGATTAAGCTGGTGATTTAGAGTCGATAATCGTTTCCTTTATTCGTCTAGGTATACTGAACTTGAAGTCTTTGTTGATTGAGATGAATAAAATTTGGAACAACTTTGAGATTGCTCTCAGTTGAATGTTTTTGGAGAATGTTCTTTTTTTTAATGAATTTTATTTTCTCCATGTGACAGGAAGCTCTGTTAAAATTAGGATTCTATTCTGGTGAGGAAGATATGGAGTTTTCTAGCTTCTCGAGTGGGACAGCAAGTGCTGTGAAGACTTGGCAAGTATGTTTTTGCGTTTAGTTAACCTTTGAGTTCTCTCGGGTGCTGGTGCGGTTGTTTTGTTGCTGAGGAATTTTGACTCGGTTTGTGTTTTGCTTCGAAAGGCATCACTTGGCATCCGTGAGGATGGGATAATGACAGCGGAGCTTCTTCAGAGGTTGTTCATGGATCAAAAAACGGATGAAGACACAAAAACAGAAAAGGATGAAGCAAGTACAATGAAGCAAGAGGTAAAAACTGAAACCACTGCGATTTGGATTTCTGGTCTTCTTTAGTTGTTCTAAATTGTGGCTTGTTTCTACCGCAATTGCCTAATGGATCNGAGTACATACCTATCAAATATTGTGCCAAATACTTTTAGCTATGTAGCACGCCTTGGGGTTAGTTATGTGGTCTCTCTATGCTTTGGTATGCAGTCTCCTTGCTACTCGCATTGTATGTTTTGGCCTCATAAGTTAATTGCCTATCTTTTCCCTTCTTAGCTCTGTACTTGAGATGATGATTCTGTTGCTAGTGAGCTTTGTTTCAAATCTGAAGTGTCTAATATGAGTCTTAAAAAAACCAATTGATAAGGGGTTAATACTACATTATCCAGTTTGAGAGTTTAGGGAAGATGAATATTCTGAAATGACGTAATTTTCTGAATGATGTGAAGAGTTATTGTTTCTGCTTAACCATTCTTTAATCTCTCTTGTTCAAGGAAGCTGGTAATGGAGCGGTAAAGACCCAAGTCTCTGAGCAGCAGCAGTCAATCATAAAAGATCCAAGTGACAGAGAAGTTAATGTTTCTCAACATCGGGTTTTCCTTCTCGGAGAAAACCGATGGGAAGATCCCTCTAGGCTCAACAAACCGGTAGACAGAAGTAAATCTACAGATACCAAAACGAAGTGCATCACTTGTCGAGGGGAGGGTCGGTTGATGTGCCTAGGTAAATTTCCGTTTGGACACCCTGCTTAAGTGAATCATCGGTTCTTTGATAGTTAAGAATGATAGCTAAGGGACTAAGATTGCTAATAGAAACCAAAAGTGAACCTTATAGTAATGGTTTGAATCTTTCATCCAATGTGGGCATCTCGATTTCAACATGCTTGATATTCTTACTTTCTTAGTAACGCTTCACACAAAGAATTGTATTAGATTATTTTGATTACATATAAAAGGAAATTTGGTGTTGATTTTGGTTGATGTAGAGTGCGATGGAACCGGTGAACCAAACATTGAGCCGCAGGTGAGTAAAATCAAAACGACCACGCTTTTGATCATGTGTATGTGTAATATTCCAAGTAGCCTAAAGCAGAGAACTCTTCTTCAATGTTGTATGGTTGTAGTTTATGGAATGGATTGGTGAAGATACAAAGTGTGCGTACTGTGAAGGTCTTGGCTATACAGTTTGCGATGTCTGCGACGGCAAAACAACCATATGATCAAGGTTTATGTTTTATACACAGATACATTTACTTAATTATAATAATCATATATGTTTATTATGAATACAAATGTACAACTCTTATGTATATTAGTTTGAAGTTTGATCTGTATCTTGTAATCTTTGCATTACTCTTGTTTAAAAAGAGATAGTACTAGTCACGCAGTGCATTAGCTTATGGACCAT